CTGTCAGGCCCGTGCTGCTCTGAGGGGCCGTGGACTCCCATCCTGTGCCAACTCCTCTGGGGATCCCCAACCCTCAGAGCCCCGAGGAGGGATGTCCCAGGGGGACACAGCACCCAGTGGGGCGTGACCCCCAGAATCCCCCCGTGGTTCCCATGGCCAGCAGTGCCACCCTGTCAGGGGGGTGCAGTGGGAGATGGGTGCCTGGGGAGGGGCATTCCTCCAGAGTGCTGCCAATACCCCTGCCCGACAGGAGCACCTGTGGGAGCAGGGTGGGGTGTTGGGTGCTGTCCTGGGGTGCTTGGTAGGAGCAGAGCCACTGGCAGGGGTGGAAGCAGCCACTGATGTGAGCAGGGGGCAACTAGTGGGTCTGTGGGGCTCAGCCTCTCCATCTTCAGGGTCCTATAGCCCAGGGGATTGGGACCCTGAACTCCCCAGGAGGGGCCCTGGGGCTCTGAGCCCCTCAGCTATGGGACCTGGACCTGGCAAAGCTTCAGGGGCCTGAGCCCGAGGATGGGGGGAGCAGGGGTCCTATGGCACCGGGGCATGGTCTGGGGTCGTTGGGAGGTCCCTGGGCTGGGGGAGAAGGCGGTGCCATGGCCCTCAGAGGAGGTCCCAGCTGGGAGCTGAGGGGCTGGGTAACCCCTGACCATGGGGCCAGAGGGGTTTTGGGAACTCTCAATATGGGGCCAGAAGGGTCCTGAGCTGGGAACGTGGGGGTCCTGGGCCTCTGGGGTTTGTAAATCTTTGGGTCCCGGGGTGTGGGGACTGGGGGTCTGACAGCACTGGGCTGGGGAGTTGGGGGTCCCAAACCCACAGGGCTTGTGGACCTGGGGGTCCCGAGGCCTTAGGGTGTGTGTGTGGGGGGGGGTCTCAACCCCTGGGCTTGCAGATCTGCAGTTCCTAAGGTCCCAGAGAGTGGGGCAGAGGGTCTAGCAGCTCCGGGTGGGAGTATGAAGGTGTCTGCGCACCACGAGCTTCAGGACCGGCGGTCCCACCCCCCGCGCTTGCAGAGCTGGAGGTCCGGCGGCCCCGGGCGT